GGGACAGGATGTCTAAAGTGAGTAATTTCACGCTTTGGGACGGTAGTATTTGTGCATTTTCTACACTTTCAGAAATTACGACAACAGATTCCGCCCCATCCCGTCAAAATATGACGCAAGGGGGGTACCTGATGCGTCAAAATTGGACGCAAAGGGACCTTTGAAAAACGTCAATATGTGACGACTCGGGAGTGAGAATGGGTTGGTGAGTCACCCTCAACACATTTTCTGAGCGCAAAGACATGATGTGTTTCTTTCAAACTTTGGTGATAACTTTTGGAATCAAGTAAATCCTTATCTGTTAGCAAAATATCTCATGAACCAGTAGATAGAACTTAATAAACACTGAGGAAGTAATCCTTCTATGTACACAGGCCACTGATTAACTTTTTGTGTCAACATGATTCAAGGTGGCTGCCACACTTAATCAAGCTTAGCAAACATAAAAATGGTTTTAACTCGGTCAGTTTMACAAATATTATGCTGAAGTTGGGCGTGGTGATAGCTGAGATAAGATCTTTATTTGAAACTTTGGTGTGCTTGGCGGTGGACATTATGCATTCCTTCAGTAATTCTAGTGTCAAGTCTTTGTGGCCAAAGGTATAAAACTTTGCATAAGGAATTTGGATGCACAAGTCTGCCAATAAAATTGTCTATATCAGTTGTTGCTGTTTGCACAGCAGTGACAACTCATTAGAAACACAATAAATTTAGAGAATTGTAGTGAAAGTAATGGAAAACAGAGAAAATGAAGCCCCGCTAACACTGCAATTCAATCAGGACTAAAACCAGCAGACTGTTGATTTTATACCGCAGCCCTGATAAGAAGTGTGTCTATGCACCGTGGCTGGTTAGATTTTAATCTTACAAGTTGGAAACTGTGAGGAGAAAAGTTTTACGACACCCTTTCTATTTCATTTTGAATTCAATATAGCAGCGATTTACAAATCAAAGTCATTTCAGGACATTTATAAAGAGAAACACAATTTCTACTGAGCAAACAATTTAAGGTGACAAAACTGCAAGAAGGCAAATAAACAGAAGACAAATGCTAGACTGGTGCTGCTACTAATCTAATACCAGAAACAAAATCACTTTGTGTTGAATGGAAATTCAGATCAAAACAGAAATATTTGCAAAGAAAGAGTGAAAAAAGCCTTTTTACTGTTCCCTTTCTTTTTAAATATCCCTCATATCACCTTCCTTGCCTTTATTTTATCTTGACCCTTTTTTGTTATTTAATATACGCCTTTTATTGCAGCTTCCCATTGTTTAATCATATTGCGTCTCTGAATGTGCATTTTTTTTTTCTTTCCAAATGTCAACTCAAAGCTCTGCAAATACATTAAAAGTTAATCCCTTTGGCCAAATACCTGCTGACCTATTCATATTTCATCTCCTTCCACAGACCTTGTTCCAATTGAACACTTCTGTTTGAAAATGTATTTCAGAACACCTAAATTGCACTTTTATGCAGATAAATGCACACAGAGATTTATGAGAAGGACTACCCTTGTAAAAGGTGCATTAACAGCAGTAAATTTATTTAGTTGCCAAATAAATGCCAATGGAGAAATTTACCTTGTACCGGTGCAGGTAAATGTGACAATTCGACTATGACTTTACACTGCATGATTAATCTCTGCACATCTCAATACTTGACTTGAACAACTTGAACATAGTGTCAATAACAATTCCCCCAATGCTGGAGGATTTTAGTGTAACGCAGCAAAACTATAAGTCATGCACGCAGATCCAAGACCTAGACTGTTTGATCCAAATACACAGACAAAACAGAGACATTTCATTTTCTGTGGAAATGGAGATTGAACACCAAGCATTGACTGATGGCTGAGATATGATGAAGAAACTAAAACTAAATCGTTAAAGCTAAGTCAGCAGAACATTAGCTAAAAGATCCAGGATATTAGAGCTTTAAAAAGGAGCAAAACATCAGCTAACAGTTACAAAAAAAACTACATTTTAGCTAAATGCTAAATAATGCAAAAAAGCTAAAAACTGTCAAAATCCTTACTGAAAACTAAAAGTAGCAAAAGGCCAACTACAAGCCAGATGACTAGCTAAAAGTAGCAGAATGTAACTGAAATCTAAAAGTAACAAAAGGCTAGTTAAAGCTACAATTAGCTGAGTGGTAGCCAAGGGCTTAATGTAAAAAAATAGTCAAAAGTGCACAAAGTTATCTAAAAGGAGATAAAAACAGAGCAGAGCTAAAACAGATGTTAAATAGAATGTTTCTGGAGGTACTAAAAAAGAAGAGGATTTTTTTAAATCAAGAAAAACCTTTTGAAAGGTACAAAATGTACCAAAACTAAAAGAATAGCAGCCATCTCCTGAATGATCTGAACGTTCTGATGTATGAATGCTACAATAGCACAATGGTGTGATAGTTAGATTGCAAAATAGCATTCAAAAAATGATTTAAAAAAGTAAAAGATCTGAGTAAATACTGAATCAGCACTGA